AGTGGCTGAGACAGCAATTGGATTTGCCTTTGACTTAGGCACATGCTTAGGCTTACTAGGGGTTGCTGAGGGAGTCGATAGAGGCGTGTTTATACCAGGCGTGGTGGTGTGTTTAAAGAGGTCAGCATTAAAAGTAGTAGTACACCCTACGGAATTGACTATGCCGTGACTTGCGGATGCCGCAGGTGGTGTTGTAGAGGACATATTCAGACTGACAGTAGGTGTCATTATCTTGGTGTTGGTTTTTGCCGATTTCAGTTTATTCAGTCTTCGCTGCAGGGGTGTGAGGTCTGGCGAAACGGAGCAGACGCGGCGGGAATTCGAGAAGAACTTGCTACAAAAAGCAACGCAGAACCCAAAATTGCTCTATAGTTACCTCCGACGAACTACAAGAAACAGGCATCAAATCCCTTTGATAAAGACTACTGATGGCGATGAGATCGCTGATAGTAAGAATACAGCTGCGTATTTTTTACGGTTTTTCCAAACAGGCTACACAAGCGAGGCATGGTTCCTTCCTCCCTCCTCAGAAGAATTGCCGACTCCACGCGTCAGTGATATACTCTTCTCAGAAGGCATTGTCCGAAGAGAATTAGAGGCATTGAACTAATCGAAGTCGCCAGGACCAGACGAGATTCCACCCAAGCTTCTGAAGGAACTGGCCAGTGAGCTCTCTGTGCCTTTGTCGATGCTCTTTCAAACGTCATTTGACACTGGAACACTTCCTGTCGATTGGAAGCTGGCGCATATTACTCCGCTACACAAAGGAGGTAACAGGGCAGCGACGACAAATTACCGGCCCATAAGTTTGACATGCATCCTCTGCAAAGTTATGGAAAGGATAATAAAGAGTGAACTGATGCAATTCCTGGAAGTTCACGGTCTGCTATCGAAATGCCATCATGGGTTCCGAAAAGGAAGATCCTGCATGACAAACCTGCTGCAATCTCTCCAGAGCTGGACTCAAGCTCTCGAAGACAGGCACGCGGTCCACATAGCCTTCATCGACTTCCAGAAGGCTTTCGACACCGTGCCACACCAAAGTCTCTTACATACGCTGAAAAAAATAGGGATCGGTGGCAACTTCCTTAAATGGATCGAAAACTTTCTTGTGGGTCGACACCAGGTTTTGTGCATCGGTCGGGGAAAATCAGATCCGGCTATAGTCGATAGTGGTGTCCCCCAGGGTTCAGTTCTGGGATCCATTTTGTTCCTTATCTACGTGGACGATGCCGCAAGAGATTTAGACTGTGAAGTTGCAATGTTTGCGGATGACATGAAGATATGGAGTGTAATTCGGGGGCCTGACGATGAAGACAGACCGCAGATGAATCTGAATCGGTTGGAGGAGTGGTCAAACCGTTGGCTCCTGCGGTTCAACGTTGCCAAAATTATGCATACTTCGCCTCGGCAACACAGCCAGATCCGCCAGCACAAGAAGCTACTTTCTGGGCGGTGCAGCCCTACAAGAGGTCGAAGCCCAAAGGAACCTCGGTGTGCTTACGACGAGTTCCCTAAAACCATCCGCCCACTGTTCGAGGGTGGCAAAAACCGCAATGTCCGTACTGTACGCCATCAAGCGTGCGTTTATGGACTTTGACGAAGAAGCTTTCTCTAAGACATTCGGAACATTCGTCCGGCCGCATTTAGAGTACGGCATACAAGCTTGGAGGCCGCGGGCTGTTGTGGATCAAAACTGCCTCGAAAGAGTCCAGAGGAGAGCCACGAAGATGGTTAGGGGTCAAAGCTCTCTTCCTTATACAAACCGCCTAGTTAATCTGAACCTCTTTCCTTTGAGTTACAGGCAACTTCGCGGAGATCTCTTGCAAGCCTTCCGCATTGTAAAGGGGTTGGATTGCAGTCTGGCCTTCGAAGACTTTTTTGAATTTGCTACCACGACCAACCTCCGAGGTCACCCGTTAAAACTGCGCACTCAGCAGGCACGGCTGGATGTGCGGAAGTTCTCCTTCGCGGTTCGGGTGGTCCAACCATGGAATGAGCTTCCCGCAGATGTTGTGATGTCACCATCAATACACATTTTTAAGAAGAATTTGGACATTTTTATGTTCCGAAATGACCAAGAGCGATGAGAAGTTGAGCTCACCCCCTGTAACTCCTTCTCATTTTGTCCCATCATTATGGGCGTGTTCGAACTATTTCAGCCCAGAACATCTATCTGTACACCACACATTTTTTGCGTTGCAAATAGGGTACTCAAAGGCTTACGCCTATTTCCCTCAATAAACTGAACTGAACTGAACTAAACGCTACCAAACCCTAACTCCAAACCTAATCACATACCTACCGCCAACAAGTTCCCAACCACCAACCCTAAGCCCTACCTAACGACGACAATGATCCTAACCCTAACCAAATCATATGCGTATTCACCAGCAGTAAACTTCGTCATGAACCAAAATCCTATTAAACCCAAGCCCTTACCCTAAATAAACCCCAAACCCCAACCGAGGCAATAGCTTAAGCGCTAACAATTTTTGAAAATTGGGTGAATTCTCCGGCTTGAAATTACAACAGCGAACGCCACTGAAATCAGTCAGGAGTATTAAGGAGCGCTTGCGGAGAAATTTAATCAATCCTTGAGCGGTACTTGCTGACATATAGGGAACGGCGACCCTACAAGATTTCACCCGCGATTTGACCAAACTGCTCAACTCAATACCCTTGCACTGTTTTTATATTTTCGTGTTTGCCTGTCTATTTATCTATGGAACCTTCCGAGCACACCTTAGATAAATTTCCATATTATGGTTCTATTAACGTAAATGATTTCACTTAGCAAGCCCAAACTTAATTGAATTGGGTTTTAAATCCAATTGCCGAGGGCAAATTCAGTGTCACATAGAGAGCAACCGGTCGCCGCATAAATGTGGGAAACTGTTAATTCTTTCGCAGGCACTTGTCTTTTAAGATTGTTCGCGGGAAGGACCAGTTGAACCAGACGTTTCCCGTGGCCCTTGATCTATTAAGGAAACCTTCAGTTCATGTCGTCCTAACTGGACAGAGGACGTAAGGTCTGTCTTCTATCGAGTCTGCTTGACTGTTATTACGTGTCTGGATGCCTGAAGTTGGTATGAGCTGCAAGGTGTTGAAGTGAAGTGCGTACAAACGGCCGTATTTTATTCTTTTGGCCTGTCTAATTACCTCGAATTCGAGGAGGAGAAATGGTGCTGAAGAAGCCGCCAAAAACGGTCGGCGGTTGTGTTTTGAGTTTCCACACGTGTAAGAAGCTGGAAGGCGCAGAACAGACATAATCTGCTGTGACAACCGTCCACCTGCCCCGGTTGTCCCTCATATATGTGCATCTTTCGTTTTTAGTAAGTGCGGTAATTGCAATTGTTCACACTGATGGCTAGTAGTGCTCGGATCACTGAATAGTATCAGTAGTGCGGAACAAAATGCGCAGATATGCTAATAGATTGCTGATACTCTTGGGAGGTGAGGGAGCGTCTCTTCAAAAGGACTGATGATGAGTGGCTGGCCTTGCCACCAAGAATGAATACTTGGGATGTATGATAAGGACAAAAGACGAAGTCTCTTTCAAATTATGATTAAGCGCCCCGTGTCTGGTTTCATTACAGCCATATGGGGTTGAGTGAGTTTTGGAACTGTCATTGCGTCCGATACTTGACTGCCCAACAATGCTCTCAAAAACGACGAAGTCTTTGCAATTGGAGCCCAATTCTTTGTTGAGAGTGGCACTGGCATAATCACGAACCGCATAGTAATCTATTGGAATAAACTGAGGCAACGTTTGCGGGCGTTCAACAGACCACGGGGAAACTGAGCACGACACTTTTGGCCGAGACTTATCTTTGTCCAGTCTAATTTCCTACATGATTATTTCCTCCCAACTGACGCTTATTCTTGCATTACGTGCGTGCCATATACTCGCATTGATGTATGATCAAGTGAATTTATTTCTTTGGACAATTTGACTCATGTTCATTTTTGTGCAGTTTTCTATTTACTAATACACCTGCGCCCTTACTGTCATTCCGTCTCCGAGCTCCACCCACCTCTAAGACGTACATTTTACGCAGTACCATCCTTTGTGTGCGCTTTATGGGTCTTCACTCGTCCTTTATAAAGTCCTGAGCTTACGATCAGTTTTAGTCTTTTGCATGCCTTAGAAGTAAATCAGTCTTTCGGTTGGTGACAACCACTAGCATACAATGTGGCCCTACTAAGAAGTTGGCAAGTTATTATTTGCAGAAACGTAAGCCGCATATCTAAGTAGGTCTTCATGTCGATTATAAGTATGCGCTATTCATATTTGAACTTCACTTTTCGTGTCTCGTAGACGCGATTTTCAGATTTACACGCATATGCGTACTGCGGCTGCGGTAATTATCTTTAGTCTTGGCTTTGCTTGCGGATACTATGCCCATGTCCTCCGCATAAAATATCTGCAGGCGAAACACGATTTCTTCGAACGAAAAGCAAAAGAAGCCAAATCTCAGCTCAGCCGTTTCTAAAGGTTCTTTGCAATGTCCGCCGAAATATCGACCGAAACCGATTCTCTCTATGAGGTTTCATGGGCCAACCCCTTATTCAGTCCCCATCTACTGTGTGCGGCGAATGTCCTTGAGTACTTCTGTGACCTCTCCAATCCCTTCTATGATCGTGAGTGCAATAATGAGGTTATCCGAATGCAAAAGTTGAGTCCTGAGCAGCTAGTTTCAATGACGGGAATTGAATTCTATTTACATCACTCTCAGGCGAGTAAAATCATTGTGTTTTCTGTTTCTTTTTGATTCTATTGTTTACGCTTAACTGGCTGTACTTTCCGGACTTGTTTGTTATTACTTGATTTCGTTCACCTGCACTCAGATTCGTATCGCACTCATGAGACGCCACCAAAGTTTGCAAAATGCTATTATTATGCTCGCGTGCCGTGAATACCAATTTTCGAACACAGTTGTGCATATTCAAACTTGTTTAAGTATTTGTGCTGCTTACTCCATTCGTCCTATCTTTAGACGTAAAAAGGTCATCATATTCCTCTGGGTTAATGTTTTTTAGGTAGGGTTGTTAGAAAAGGGACAGTGTGTGAAATATTTGAAGGTATCCTCAAGTCTCAACATACTTCTTTGAAGTAGGCCGGGTTCTGATAAATGGCCAAGTGGCTGCTGACACCTACCCCTGCATGACTAGTTATTGTGAATAAACAGAGAAGCGTCCCACAGTAATCCCCAGCCAGCATTCCTCACATACCATCCACCTGTATCTATGTAAGTTCTCCGGGCCGGCATAGTATAAACTGACCAACTTATCGATTGTGCTCATGTAATCTGCCGTCTTTTCTCATTGCCTGCCTCGGTATGTTTACCAAGAAAAATTCGTCTTATCTATAGGAACCAGTGCTCTTTGTTATTCGCAAGCAGCAGCGATTGTCGACAACACTGGTCACCCCGATTGCCTACTACTACATTGTCAATGGAACCGTTATCCAGGCACCTGACCTAGCAACCCTTGTGAATGCACGCCTTCATACTGTCATTCATGGCTTAAATAAGACTATACAAGTAAGTTTCAGACTGTATGTTTCTCCCGAATAATCTCAGTCAACCCTGCCGACTACTGTGACTTGTGTCTAAATTACTTCTAGTTCATACGGCATAATCATCGATAGACATTATCACTTTGTTGTTCGTAGTTTAGGTGGAAAGTTTTTCTGGTAGGTATAGGGATGTGTCTGATGTTGCCTCCTCACAGAGTGAGTCCACTGTAGTTGAATAGAATCTAACCGGCGATCGAATAAGTGGGGCAGGTCCATAGTTGAACCTGTGGCACGCGATCAGGCGACGTGGGCGATTGTTAGGAGCAGCACTCGTGTATCTGGGTTTCGCAGTTACAACACCGAGTGCTCCATCCAGTCTGTCCCACTTTGAAGCTACAAATGCAGCTGGGGGTAAGCGAGCCGGTTTCGTTAAGCCAGTTCTGTGGATTGAGGCCTTGCAGCTTCTCAATGTTGTGAGCTGTGTACCCTGCACAGTGTCCTCATTACTGATGATGTTGTTGTTGCCGCTGACAAGACCCTGAGTGTACGCTACCAGTGAGAACACGTTCAAAGGGGTTAGGTGTTGGCATATTTGTTCCCAGGTATAGTTACTCGCTACTTGGTACGTCTGTGATCATGCCTGGTCTAGCTCATCACGATGCTGTCACGGACTCTACCTCTCCACGTGTAACGATCCGCGGCAGCAGATCTAGATAGCTCAATCCACTCTCTTCGAAGGGGCAGAATCCTAACTTCTAAACCAGAAGGGATAAAAAATTCATAAAGTTCATAGCCGGTCTGGTCGGCTTAAAACGACTATGCTAAGACCTACTGCTGCCGGATATAAGCATGCAAAACCACATGGTTCTAGAAGGGGTTTAGATCAACTGACTTCTGTATTAGCAGATAAACAGTCTAATGTCTCCCATGGAAGAGCTGAACCGAATGACTCTTATCCTGATAGAGAGAGCTGCACCTAGTAACGGTTAGTGGTTAAAAGTCATATTGTTTTCTACACAACTTAGAACCATGAAAAGTCGAATGCCGGTGGGCATGTAATGTTGTTTAAAAAACGATTGGATCAAGAGTATGAGAGTCAAGCAGAACTAACTTGGTAGAATGGCATCCACGAAAACTAGGAGCATAAAGTCGTTGCCGCGGGAGCACAAACTTGCTAGAATAGGAAAGAGGCTGCCCGGGAAGACCTTGAAGGGGAGGGGCATCTTTTCACTCGAAAAATCAGCGGACTCAGTAGCGACAGCCTCCGTCACACTTTCTGCAGATCGGGGGACTCGAGAGAGAATCTCACATGCGCTCGATGACAAACTGCCATTCGAACTCGTTGCTGTGGCCTTGAAGAAAGATAAGACAGCCTTACATCGGAAATGAATTCCTTCACACGATCACGCAGGTAGCGCAGAAGGCTGATCAATGGGAGGTGCCAGTTCAGGATCAATATAGACCTAGGATGCCCTACTATGGCTGAGTTAATCTGACTTTGTGCTCTACGTATCGGAGAAATATACCGTTCCACCCTGCTCTTTCGATTGTGGGGTTTAAGTTCCCTATTTTGCGTGCGATAACTGTGTGCTGTCTGACTTCGACAATGTTGGGAAATATATATTTCTGCATTTTTAAGTTAACAACCCGTCCGATTCGAGAGAGAGAGAGAGAGAGGGAGAGGATTGCTTTATTTTAAAAATAACATTCAAAACTTTCTTCTTTGAATTAGTCCTACTTCATAGCGGCTCGGTAATCATGCATAACAGATAGTGAGGCAAGATAAAGAGACCGCTGGGGAAAGCATTGTTGTTAGAGATTCCGAATTGATATTGGAACTAGCAATCGAAACGTGAAGGGAATCGACAATCAAAAGAAATGGGACTACAAAAAAGTGTTTTATGGACTGCGGGTAGAGTGGAGAATCGCTCACCCTGGTGAACAGAAGAGTGAGGAAGGCAAGGATGTCGTAACACACAAACACAAGAAACCCGGTCGTTATTGCCTAAAGTTTTAAGGGATGCTCGGGGAGTATATTTTTTAGAACGCGAATATAACATGCTAAGGTTCCTTATAGATGCGTGTCTCCCGAGAGAAATGCAAATAAAATGCAATTTTCAGAAACTCGGGTTTAATGTATCGAAAATTCAAATATGAACAAGCCCTATTCGGGAGTGGGTTTTGCACTGCGTCCTGCGGTATTTACAATAAATAGGAGTACTTCAACTTGATGCGGCCGGTATCATGCATGATCTAGCAGGTTTCGAAAGTGCCACAGACTGTACACCTCCACGTGTGACGATCCGCGGCAGCAGATCTGGTCAGCGACGGATACCGAGTACCGGAACCCCAATAACCACCTCCATGTCCTGATGGAATTTTTCAAACCAGGTTTTGAGTTGACCTTTTCCATGCTTCCAAGTGGGTAAGTTCTGGATCGAGGGCAGCAAAACTGACCCCGTGAAGTGGACGACGAATAACCTGCCCAATCCACCTCAGTCATCTTTGTTGAATGGCCTGGGATATCCTTGTGCTTTTGTCAGAGCGAGTGCGGACAGTCTCGCTGGAGACGAAGTCAATGTACCTAACCCGATGGATGGTTATCAAGCGGTTATGCTCAAATGCCTCCATTTTTCGCTCGTCTTTCACTCACACAGCCCAGCATTCACAACCGTAGAGAGGGATCGACTGGACAGATACACGGTACACGCAAATCTTCGTGGCGATGGAGATGTCGCACTGGGTTCATAGGCATTTTCTAAAGCTCTAAAACAGCCCTGCGAGTAGCATTGATTTGGGAGACAATGTCGTCCTTATCCTGCCCATCAGACCGCTGTCTCGCTCCGAGGTGTTTGAAATTGTCTGCTCCTTCAGGTTGACAACCATTCATCTCGAGGGGCGCTCTCTCCTGGACAGGGATGCAGCTTTAAAACAGTTCGTTCCGCCCAGCGTTTATGGCGACTTTATTCAGCCGTGACACCATGGACTGTAAACCACAAAAGCTTGAAGATAGCTAGCCGATATAATCAGCGTAGTTCAGACCAGTCAACCGGCGTCTGGGACCAAACTCAACGCCGTCAGCCATTGAATAATCGCTTCGAAAGGTGCACCTCTAGCGTCTTAACGGTGTGACCGCTCCCCACAGAAATGCTGGGCATTTAAGTCAGTTCCAGGACGTAGTTGTCCTTGACTCACTCCTGCCACTTCACTTTTAGGGTTTCAGCAGACAACCGCGGTGGTGAGGCCAATCTCTCTAGCTTAACACAGGTACACCGTCTGCGTATCCGCGTCGAAGGACAGTGCAGGCAGTATTACGACCCTGCGCATCCCCCACTTGGTGCTGGAGGGGATGTGTGCATGATTGTTCATACCTCTGTCACACCGTACGCGGGAATTGTTTTCACACCATCTAATTTGTTTTAGCCGCATACTCGACCTAAAGTCCTCCCATATGTTGTGGTGAGTGACCGCGCGCAACAGGAAGCGTGGCACACAACTGAAGACTCGAGTAGTTAGCATATCGATCTAACAATCGCTTATCAAGCACTGCATTAACACATTAGTAGCGTAGCTGGAGGTAGTCCCTGGTCGGAGTGAGCTAAGTATGCAGCGAGTTGTGCAGCCTCACATTCCTTGACGATGGACCTACGTTAGAGTTCAAAACGTCGGATACACAAGCAACTGGTCTCAGCGATCGCCTTCCCGTCTTCCACTCAATTACCTGGACCACACCTATTCTCTATCATTCGGAATCCCTATTATATTTCTTTCTGTCACATCTATGTTATTCCCCTACAGATGTCATATTGCCTTGTTTATCTCGTTATCAGTCAAGACTCTCATGAATCAGGTCGCCTACTCATCATAAACCTTACGTTCAAGAACAGGACGTCCAGTTTTCCGAAAACCCAAGATATTCAATTAGGCAAACTGAATTATCCTCCTGCTGGGACGAGCTCCTACTTTCCAGCGTTGCCGACACTACTGTTATGCTTAGCAGGAAATTATCGTTCGTGCTTTGGCATTTCGGCCAACCAGAGTTCCGTATGCGTCCTGCCTGATATGGGACTGCTGTGTCGGTCTGCATGTGGGCAATTTGTTTCCTCTTAATTCCGGGTCCCAAATTGGGACTTTCTCTTACAGCAAGGCATTGTGTGCTGCTTTCCCATAGGTTTACATTTCCACAGAATACCGGTCCCTTCGATTACACTTCTTCGGTCGGCCAATAGGCATGTTTAATTATGACTTAGGGGCATTTGGTTCGTACGAGAGGCCTACGGAGTAAAGATCTATTTTAAACACGAATTTCTGCCATTCGTAAGCCCAAATGGAGGGCTCGGGCCACTGCTCTCCGCCCGGTCAAAAACTAGTCTGGACGGTTATTCGCAAGACACAGGGGGTAGGTAGAGGGCCTTTGGTGATTTGTGTGAAAGAGTTCAGAGTTGTAGCGTCAGCGTTGCCGTAGCCAGTACAGATAAATGCCAGGACGCGGCGAGCTTTGCCCTTAGGCATGTAAACATCACGGCGGACACGTTTGTGCATATCTGGACAGTTTTGCATACGTTTCACAAGGCTCTTGGATAGGTATTAGATCCTGATTATTTGTAATCCAGCTAAAATTGGTCCCAAAGCTGATTTTCCGGGTCTCTACTGACTGATGGTGTGTTAGGTTGCCTCTTTTTATTTCTCCAGGCTCTGGCTCCTTGCGCCCGCTACCACCCACCTGATGGATCTTACTCCTGGGATGACCCTAAAAAGCTCTTGGGGAGATCTACTAGTAATGATGGCGCCCCCGAAGGCAACAGTCCAGATAAAGATGCCAAGACTGTACAGAAGTCGGAATCAAATGTTGCCACGAACTACTACCAAGTCCACCCCATGGAGGTCTTACTTGCTGAATGGGCCAGTAGATTCCCCCTTCCGCCTCTTCCCACCACCGCCACCACCACTAGCAGCTCCACCGTTCAGACTCCACAACAGCCATCCGCAAACACTCCGCAGACTCAGTCGGGCCCTCTGACTCAACATGCAACCAGCGTACGTGTTTTGCCCTCCTCCTGCCTCTTGATTGTCTTCCCTCATCTTTTGCCCAAGCTTTTATCGATCCTGAATGAATGCAGCCTACGCCTTATTTTGGCGTGCGATAACTGTCCGCGACCATTGCTCTCTACTAGAAATTCATTCAGTTGCTTTTTTTGACAAATTTATTAGCTTGTCCACATTTCGAAAGTCCAGTTGTTTGGAGTTTTTTGGTGTTAGCTCCTCCGAGGACACATTTGTTTTTGTTTGACTCGTTGGCACCCTCTAAAATATTGTAAGGCCCAATAACAGCACTATTATGTGACGCCTGTTTGCAACCACTTAATACCTTTGCCTATCAGCGCTTCCATATGGTCGAATTTTCGAATTGGAACGCTAGAGACAGCAACCCACGACTGGCGAATTGGTCGGCTGTTGGCGACTCACTTGCGCCGAACCATCTTGAGAAACCTCATGAAACAATATCCCGTCCGGATACGGCTATCTAAGCCACGTCATAAGCGGAACCTAACGCGTTTCGCAACCTGGGTCCGCTGATGAGAAAGAATAGTACGAGAACTTGACTACCTGGCTATTAAATGCTGGCATGTACAACTTTCTGGACCAAATTTTGTAACGTCTAACGGCGTTCAGTCATTATTAGCACAACGTAGATGTCTGCTACCTGCTTGAGTTCCAGACTCACTCACAGGTGGTCACGACCCCGGGGGTGAGCTCCTGTCCCATCCCATATCATCTTGTAACAGGTGAACCATGCGCCACCTGTGTTGGAAGCAGTTGATAACCGACTGGCTTCCGTACCTGTGTGGGAGAGCACTTTACCAACACTTTTACGGTTTATGCACCGACATGGACTGCTGACTAGCGCAATAAAGAAGCCGTCTGCGCACAGCAGCGAGAACTGGTTGGAAGAATTCCCCGCCGTGATAACTGATTTTTGTTGGAGGTTAGAATTGACAGGCTGCGCTTAACAACTCTCCAGTCACCTAATTGACCACTCTGGGCTTCGTTCTCGCCAGACCTGCCTAATTATTACTTGGAATGACTATTTGTGATAATTCATTATCTTAGTGCTTTCAAGTTTTGTTGCTTTGGAGTCGACACAGCAGACGTTTTTCCTCTCTTTTCAGGGCCGCGAACACGATTTGAAATCAGCCTCGGGAATACCAGAGAAGAAGAGCCGCTTGTTATAAACAAGTACTCACTCAATTACCCGTAGTGATTAACGAACAGTCCCTTCCTCCTAGTTCTAATTCAAATGTATTTGTGGGATTTTGCTATCTACTGTGTCATACCTGATTGCATTCGTTTTTTGAAGGATACGCGCCCTCTGTACAGTTGCGTCTTGTACTTTCTACAAATCATACCTCCTCTTCCCTTCTGTCGGCTTAATATGATATAACGAAAAGACGAAGTGGACCACCCGTTCCAAGTGATAAATTTAAAGACAGGCGATCACCACGTGCGAACAGAAAACAGTACTTGTTTGTAGCAAGTGATATTTTTATTCAGTGGTTCTAAACCCTGTTAGATTATTCCCGCTGGCTGACCAACCGGCAGAGCACTCAACACGAACTCGAGGTCTGCGGCTGATATCCGTCGCAGGCCCTGGCAGTGGGTGTGATTCCTCATGCTTGAAATCAGGATGATTACTACCTCGATACTGGGATGATCGCATTTTAATCTTGCCTGGCTGCATTTTTGGCTGCGGCTGCATCTGTGCATCACAGTCCTGGACGGCATTCCCATCGGCAGTTACCCATCGTCAAAAACGACGCTGATACCCGCCCGTGAATCTCGTACGTAATTCTTGGAGTAACGTTCGAAGTAGTTTTGAGTTGTATATTCCGACCTCGCTTGATGCCGGCATGTTTTCCTGTGCTTCATACAAGTCAGCGTTCCTGGAGACTGGCTAAATGTTCACAGCAACGGCAGCCGCGCTTGACCTGTGCGTTTCATCTGGTATCACATGTTTCCCGGTTTTTGAAAATCTTACTAATCGAGTATAACCCCTAAATCTCGCTATGTGTAAACATAGTGCGTTGCTGAATTTCCAAACTCAGATGAGTTGAGGCGGGGAAATGGAGACTTACTGGTAATATAGGCGTGCGTTCAGACCGGAGCATGGGCATTTTTGGCTACGACCTTGTTCTGCTGTCAATTTGGCAAATTTAAACATTACGTACTTATTTTGGTGCGGTTTGAACTTCTCGGAGCAGGCACCTTTGTAAAAGTACGTGTCTAACAAGCAAGGTCGCGTTTGTGCACCCAGAAGCTTATCTCACATTAGTGCAGCACCAGGATCTCATTTGTTGCTGATGGGAGCACACTGCCGTCACAAAGATATTTTCTTTGGGGAATTAACAAACAAAGTAGTGTGCACATTTATAACTGGCCTGTGGACACCAGGACGGAATTCATTACTAACTCACCTACGGTCAAGTCACGAAAACAATAGGAAGTGGCATCATGAGCATGTCTTATTTCTCATCTTTGTGCCAGGGGTTGTCCCAAGACCACCACTGTGTCGCTGGAGTCTCAAAGGATTGCGATCCTTAGAGTGCACTAGAGATCACAGATGGCCTGACACGAAGCATCCATCTCACCACGTCCTCCCACGCCTATCATATTCTGAAGGCAGTGCGGAGTCCGTGCGACTGGAGATTGACGCGGTCACAGGAGCTGTCTGCGCACATGCTGTCCACTAACGCCCAGAAAAGCCGGTCGTCAACGATGGGTATCTGATCTCACGGAAGCGGGCTACATCGAGAAGCCATCGTAGTTCATTGAGTTCGATTATAGTGAGAAAACTAAATGCTGGAAAAAAGGAGGCTCCGGAAGACGAGGTGCTTATTAGACACGCTGTGGGGTACTCGACGTGTGCACGGGTGATGGGCGGTGTAACGACCTCCGGTCAGGCCTAGCTGGGAGAGGAGCAGTCTGGCAAAGCAGTTGTAAGTCATTCAGAACGTCCTCAAGCGTGGTTGGAATAACGTCAAGTGGGCTGGTTATTCTTAAAGTCGCAAACCATAGCATTACTACCAAGTGACAGATGTCGCCTGCCATCAGCTAAGGTCTCGCTTATCGACCGGTGCGGACTAGGATACGGATTCTCAACTTCGACTTCAGGGTCCGGTTGCGCAACAAAACAACCGCACGCAACTGCCATCGGTTAATTCACAACTTAACCTGACTTTCGGGCCAGTGGCGCCGATGCAATCTCCAGCCAACGACCCCTGCATATGGCAGGTAGTGGTGATAACGCTGTACTGCCGACAAATTCCTCAGCGTCCCGGGCCTCAGAATGAGGTCTCTTAAAGCAGACATCTTGGAGTTATAGATAACTGTTCGGTGGGGAAAAGGGTAGAATCCTCAGGCTACTGCCAAATCCGATCGGAAGTACTACCAGGTGGGGGGATGAAGGTCAAGTCGACCACCAGCACACGACCCCCCCTTGAATTGGTGGAATCCCGGGGCCGGGAAGTCAGAGGTTATGTGGGTTGTTTGCCAAAAGTAGTTGCACAAGAGCGTAAGGCGCAGCCTGCGCACCCAGAAAGTGCCGATCACCTTGAGGTATTCTATCAACGCGGCTTGTGAACTGCGATTCTAACGGACGGTCATACTTTCAGTCAGGATTACAAATAGTGGAGTACTTGTACTTGATACGGCTGTGATCATGCCTGATCTAGCCGGCCTCGACATCACGAACTGCCGCCGCGGATCGTCACGCGTGGAGAGGTACCTCTCCACGCATGACGATCCGCGGCGGCAAATCTGGACAATGGTGGAGTGTAACCGAGGGCGGCAGGAATGACTTGTATGGTCCCCTTAACAGGGCATGGGAACGTACCGCTCAAATAATAAAGATGGGCCTGTGCATAACTGTGGAAGGGGCAAAATATCCCCGTGTCCTAACCCCAACAACAACAACCATAGTATAAAACTCTACTGTTGCCCTAATCTTAACCCTAACTCTGCAGTCAATACTAACCCCTGCCTTAACCCTAAACTTGATCCTGACTTGCCGTCAACTTTAAATTTAGCCCTAAACCCAATCCTCGACCTAACCCCAACCTTAATCTACTTTCACTGGGAGTTGGCTCAAGGCCAGCCGTATTGCAGGCGGTTGCTGTCTTCGTGTCCTGTTTAGGGGTCCACAAAAATCAGTCCTGCCCAGAAGGCCCAGAGCAAGTAGGTGAACTGGCAACAGCTGAGCGTTTCGTCCACTCTTCTCGGTCTACCGTAACTCCACGAAACAATTCCATCCGACCGCACACAGCGGTGAATAAGTACTCACTTAATTCACCGTTATGACCACTGCCTGTTTCACCAAGTGATAATCAGGCGTGGAGCTCGCGGCACAAATAACCCCATACCCCCTCAGTTTGTCGTCCAACGCTTGTCAGATATATTAAGTTGAGAAAATTAAAATCGAAGCACAAACACCTATGGCTAACAGAAATATTAAACAAAAAACGAGATATGTCTGCATTGGAGAGCGGTCAGCGGTAGAAAAAAGGTAAAATTGCGGAAGGAACGAAGCAACACGACTGTGTGAGATTGTATGACTAAGAGTAAAAGCATCACCCTCCTTATCTCTGGCCGGGGGTTTGGAGGGGCTCTAAGTGTACCATGACTAGGGCGAAAACAGAAGGCTAGGGGACTAGTCAGGTAAACATCTCCCACACCTCCAGTTGGTCGATTATAAAGGGCACACTGGAAGGGCAGACATCATTCGACTGAAGAGATTTGGCCGAAGGATTACGGTGAATAACTCCCCTGGCCG